GTCTCAAAACAAGATCAATAAGACTTTTTGGCTGATATAAGGTTTTAAAACTTGGTAAGATGGACAGTTTTTGCAGTGTAAGATCACTTCCTTAAAGGAAACGTCCACAGGAAGTGAAAATAGAACCATAGGAGAACAGAGTTCGGCCATTTTGAATTATGATTCTGTGTAAAACACRTAAACAATATCTTACCTGTTGTRGATAGCTTCTTTAACYACATTAGCCATCTGTAACRGGTAAGATATTATKTATAACTTTGACAGAATGAGGAAGAATGTGTTTTAAGATGAAGACTTTGAGGAACAGTCAGAGCAGTAGTTAAACCAGAGAAAAATAAATATACACTTTAATTCTGTTATCTTAATTTAAGAGCATTGCTGATAAATAGATTAATAAGTTAAATCTTCAGTTTTTCCAGTGAAATTTTCAATGGACCTTGAATAAAGTTTGACAAAGCGGCAAGACCTGTAATAGGTGAAATACTTCCTGCTGATGAGACCCGAATGATGGCGTGAGGGTGAGAGTTTCTTCTGAGTCGAAGGCACGGATCCTTCTTATGACGTCACCCAGTCTTTTTTTCCTACATAAACACCTGTTTCATTTGTTGAAAGTGTTTYCTTAAATCTTTCATAAGAGTTTCAGAGAGAAGCAGTAATTCTGAAGCTGAGCTCTGAATATGAACAATAAATAAGAGCAGGATCCAGCAGGGCTGCAGGCAGAGGTCAGAGGTYGGGGTCAGTCAGAGGATCGGCGGGTCTGAGCGAACCTCGGACCGCCTCAGTGGTTCTTTGGTTTGGGGAGTCGGGACGAGCCGGAGCTGAAGGCTTTGAGCTTCACCTCTGAACCGTTGACGCTGCCGGAGTCGCAGGCGGCCGACGGCCTCGTCTTTGGAGAACCCGAGGCGGAGCTGCAAGTGTGAGACAGGAAGAGGCGGAGCTTGGAAGGCTGCGGCGGGAGCAGGGATCTTCTGAAGGTTCTTCTCTCGGTTTCCTCCTCTTCCACCTTCCTCTGACTTTTCCCATCCCCCCCTTCTCTCTGGGAGGTGCCGTTAGGAGTTTTAGCTGAGGGGAGGAGTCGGTCAGGCTGGGCGGGGTTACCTGGAGGAGGCGGGGCTTGTTGCATCAGTGGTTCCTGGTCTCCCTGATGGGAGGAGTGAAGTACCTGTGACTGAAAACAAGACAGAAACGTCAGCTGCTGCAGAACGACGTGAACAGAGAAATGAACATCTGAAAATAAGAAACAGGAAAAAGTTGTTGCTGATTTATGAGCAGATGTGCTGAAATAATTTAACTAACTCTGTGTTACATAATTTATCAGACGTTAGAGCAGAAAAAGACTGGATTTATTTTCCACAGACTGGTCATTTCACACATCAACACTTTGATCTGTTTGCTTTGATCCGTGTGTGTGTGAGTGTGTGTGTGTGTGTGTGTGTGTGTGTGTGTGTGTGTGTGTGTGT